TTTATGTATCTATAATCTTGTAATAAAAATTATAATTTTTATAGATGAATCTAACAATACTGATAATGATACAACAATGTCAGCAAATGTTAACACCAGGTAATTTTTTAAAATAAATTTAAATAGTTATGCACTCAAATGAACCCACTCTGGGTCTAGTTTTAAGTCTGGTTGGGGTTTGAGTTTATTCAAGCCTGTGGGACTATTCAAATCTATGAATGTATTTTTTCAAAATTAATTTTGTGTGTTGATTGTGAGTGGCCACAAGGGTCATTAAATGAAAACCAAAAAATTTCTATAAAAATAGCACATGCACAAGAAACATGATGTGATTCAAATAAACACTTAGTACTTGAATAAACCCCATGTGGGTTTATTCAAGTACTAAGTGTTTATTTTTTTTTATGCAACTGGGACTTGGGTTTGTTTAAGCCTGTCTGATAATTTAAACTGTGGATCTAATTTGAGTGCATAGTACATTTATTCTGAACTATTTTTAAAGTACATAATATTTTATTATTTAGCTTTTGTCGGGAAAGAACAATAAAATTTGAAAGAATATTTTTAATACTGAATTTCATATTTATTATTTTAACTAATAATTAAAAAACTGTACAAATCCTTAAAAAATGCATTAATTACTTTAATTTTTAACTTGACTAAGACAAAACCTTTCATACTTTGTTTCTAGCAGTTTAATCACTAAGTACAAGCGTTTTTGGCCATTTTGAATGGCTGAAAACGTTTATGCTTAGTATACTTGATACGTTGAAAGTTGGAAGCATGTTCTTCATACACATTAAGAATTGTTTTTACTACTTGTTTGATTTTATATAACTCATAAAGCATAATATGTCTGATATTGCTTTTTATCTGAAGATATTTCAATTTATTCAAACAAAATGTGGAGAAAAAATTTAAAATATGCTTTTGAATAAAGAATACAATTTCACATTAGCAATAATATGTTAAATTTTGCAACTGTTATAATTAAATCAAACATCTAAATTAAGTAAAGACAGCTGTTAAAAAATGCAAAACCTTTCTGTTCAATTAAATTAACCAATGCATCTGAGAAATGTGTGGAAGCAACAAAGCCTAAGAGGAAGATTAGAATATTGATGATTGAGATGAAAAATGAACTTATTGTGAGTTATCCGATGATGGTGGAGATCCAAGGACCTAAAATTCCACTTCTCTGACACCAGTGTTGAATTTGCCAACTTTCAGGGAATGGTTAATCCCGCGTCAGTGATAGTCTAGGGTCTGTCTTCATGTGGATGGTGGTGGAGGAGACAGTGATGACAAGTGTCTAACATAAAAGCATTTATTGTAATTCAAGAGAACTTGCACTATACAAAAGTTCATATCTGTGGTTGTGTTTGAATGCAGTGACCAGTAGATAAGAGGAGTCCTTTGGCAGTTGGAGGCAAATGGTGGATGATGGGGCCCCAGGGCAGTAATGATGGGTGTTCATCTGGTGATGCAAGAGATTCAAGTTCAGTGGAGACTTGGTCGTTATCTGTACAAGTGATGACAGTTGTTTCAAGCGACACAGTTGTTCACAACACACAATTGGCAAAAAACTGCATTTTACACATTGACACATGGTCTTGGTTATTCAGAACATTAACTAACCAAGTGTGATGTGTCCTTGATTGTCAGAGATTATATCAATCTCATTCCTTTTTTACCCATTCCGATTGGTCATTCTCCCTCATTCATGCTTTTCAAGTGGCTGGTCCATCATTATTAAGTGTAATGGGGCTTCTACCTGGAGTGTGGGAGAGGTCAAAATTGAAGCTCTGAATTCAATCTCCCACCAATCATAGGATGACATTCTTTCTATGATTTATGATTCTGCATTACAGTGTTAATATAAACAAAAAGCGTTCGATTACAAACAATTTTTTTCTTGCCTTTCTAAAACAATTAAATTTTTCTCTAGATCAACTGATTTTTGTGAATTTTATGATGGTTCGCACCTGTCTGGGACCTCACGTTATTATAAAGCATAAATGTGGTATATGGGTGGCAGGTCTGGCAGCCATCTGTAAGATGCCAAAGTCAACATGTGCAACCAGTAAATGTAATTTTTATTTTATTATAGTGTTTACATATTTATTGTTTTCATGATTTAATTTAATATTAGGGCATTCAGTTGTGTTATTTTTACTATAAATTATGTGTATATGCTGTTTTAAGTTTATTGAAGTAGGTATTGTTTATGGTCTGGGAATGGATTAATTGACTTTCCATTATTTCTAATGGGAAAAATTGATTCAAAAATCTCTGAATAGTTTTCTTATTGCTTAGTGGGCTATTTTGGATTATCTATGTTTTTCAGTTTTCTGTGCACACTAATTAACAGCATGGATAATCAGGAGTTGAATGTATTATACTAAAGTTTTTAGGTAGGATTTAGCTAATTTGTGATTATTGAGTTTTATATTACATATAAGAATGTCTCTCTGTGATATATCAGCATTTTAATTTAATTATATTTGAAAAAGCATCAATACTCTGGAGCAAGTTTCAAACTGCAAATTAAAATATTAGTGTATTGCTGGTTATTCTGTCTAGATCTTCCAACAGAAATTAATTCAAATAAAATAAAATAATCACTATAGTTAAATTTCAATTCTAAAAAATTAGCATTTATCTGAATTTCACTTCAGACTTACTGAAAGTTGCATTATGTATACATACTGTACATAAATTAATCATAAATTTTAACTTTAATCCAGTTATAATTTAAATTAGTCAAATTCTAACTCATGAAATACGCATAAGCATAATAATAATAATTAGCTTTATTAAATATATTATAACAACAATTGTTTATCATATAGTTTTTATACAAATATAATTTTTGAATTACTGTAGTTAATGCATAAATCTCAGAGATCCTTTTCAACTTAAATGCTAATTTCATAAGAAATTTATGACTAGAATTTAGATTCAAGCAAAAGATTCTAATTAGATCTGCTTCATAACTTTTTTTAACTTTTATTGTGAAACTTCTAAGTTTTTTAAATCAAATAGGAAAGAAAATACAGTGGGTGATCGGTTAACAAACATAATCTGATCTAAGACTTTGTTCGTTAACCGATTATCAATTTCCCATAGGTTTTTATGGGAATTTGATTAATTTGTTCCAGAGACTCCAAAAAATAAAAAAATATATACTTTTTTACTATGTTTATTTACATGTAATAATAAAAATACATATATATTGTGAAATTCAAAGTTCATATAATTTCATAAAGGAGTTTAATCCTTTAAATTTATAATAAATTTCTTTAATAAATAAAGGAATTTGAACCTACAGAAATGAACTATAGAATGCGTGAGAAATTTATAACTCTTTCTGTTTAACTATAAACATTCTCACGATCAAGCCATGTATAGTTTACAATTACCGGCAAAATTCGTCATAATGTTGTCATTCTAACACCAACTTTAACCCCACTCCTGCTAAAACAATTGGTCACCTGACGAATTTTCCCACTGCAAAACGTATAAAAGACATTCTCCTTTCCCTCTCGGGGGAATCGCCGATCGTGAGTCGAAACATCAAAGTCTTCCCCATCGCAGCCCTACTCCACCTTGTGCCACACCCCAGAATCCATTTGCCGATATTACGGAAAAATATCCCACTGATATTTGCAAAGAAGTATGAATGCATATTTGTAAACTCTCGCTCTCCACCATCCACGCAGTAGAAGGATAGGTTGTTAAAATGGAACTTAGAGTAATTATGTTTCTAATTTTTTCCGTAGTTGATTGTAATAAACTCTTGTTTTGTTTTTAAATGGTGTCTTTACTCGACTTTGCCAACGTCTTATCATCGACCCCTCTGACTCTCCTCCACTCACGTAACGCATAACAGAACGTAAATGCCATCCTTGACAAGTAAATAGGTCATTGACTTGTGGCCGGCAAGGAGAGGAATTTCCAACCTCCCCGGCGGCTCACAATATGCAGTCTTGCATTTTTACTAATCATGTTTTTCCATTTGTGGGGGATAAGAATCTGTCCAATGTCAATTACTTTTTTATTTTCTTCAGGATTTTTTGGAAGTAATTAATAGTATTGTAATTGTAGAGATCCTCAACTCCATTAACCTTATTCTGGTTTGGATGCCACTTGGATGATATGACATCCTCCCACTTCTTGAAAAGATCTTTAGTAGCAGATTTCGACATTGGTCCTCTTTCATCTTCCTCTTTTTCAAAAGAAAACACATCTCGCTGAGTTTCTTGGTGTTGTTCATTTGAGAGTTCTTGGATTTCTTCTGTCGTCAGATCAGTTTCAGGTTCCATTATGAGCTCTAAAATGCTCTTTATTTCTCAGATGTGATTTTCATTACTCTTTTAGCTGCTTGAGTCTTCTTGAGTATATCTTTCTTAGCTAAGATTGTGCCTACTGTAGACCTGTTCGAGCCATAGTGCCTAGCAACATCAGACAACTTGTGCCCACTTTCTATCTTGGCTATTATCTCTTACTCGGTTTCTATGGTGAGCACAGTTCTTGACACTCCTCTTTTTAGGCTCCATAATATTATCAGTTTCTTTTTTAAATAAAATGTTCAGAAAAGCACTTACAAAAATTCAGAGAACAGAAATCAACTAGCCCACAAAAATTTATTTAAATGCAAGGCCCGGATGAAATTCGAAATTTGGTATTAAAACATTAACAAATATCCTTTCACCTTTCGTAAATAAACTCCGACGCAAAATTTAACAAGTACCTGTCTGACAGTCTCGCGAAGACTATAAAAATTATTTGTCAGAAAGGCAAACAAAAAGCTGGAATTACAAGGGTGAGTTTCAAAATTCAGAGGAATACTATCTGATCGGTATCGAGTTGAGAGTCAATGTTACATCTCCTGTGCTCCGAAAGGTTTCAAATTGTTACCTGAAGACAAGGGAAAATCAANACTGAACTTCATATAAATACATAATAATAATCTGTATAAATTAGTTGTTAGATAGTTACGTGAAGATTACATTGTTTTAATAGTTTAAAGTGCGATTTTGTAAGAGGGAAAAACTATATAAAATTATGAAGTTAAAACTTTAGGCTATCATTTAGCCTTATCTCTATGGGACACGACTCGCGACGGGCGCTGCCTGGGACGAATTCAATTTAGTTACATGAAGGTCATGGTCGAATACATTATTTACAGACCTTATTCACTATGTTTTTGTTTATAATAAATTAATGTTATTTTTTATTTCAGCATATAACAATTTATATCAACGTTTGTAATAATTATAACAGAAAACGGACGTAAGAGTAACGTTTAAAATGTTCTTAATCACTTTGAATTAAAATACCCGTTAACATACATATTTTCATCAAAATGTTCAGTATAAATTAGTGGGGACAATTTGAAAAATTTCGTCATTGTTTGTCTGATTGTGTTCAAGTTTTATATCAGTAAAAATTTGCCCTTTTTTATAACCCTTCCTCATCGCTATCAGAAATCAGAAATCCTTCCCTAATTACATCATCTGACCAGATGTTAAAACCATTCGCAAATACAGCAATTATTTTCAGACAGTTTTTTTTTTTTTGCGATGACTGAGGAGAAAAATTAACATCTTACATCATCAAAGATTCGCCCTTCCTCCGTCGTCAGCAGTCGTCAGTTGCAAAGGAAATACTTGAAAATACTTGAATGTGACCTCCATTCAGTTGTTTGAACGCATGAACATGCTATCCATTTTACCTGCACATGTTTAATGTAGAGGATGTAGGCTAATAGTGTAAACGCGGTTTAGTGTGCTATTCACTTTACTTCATTTGCATGTTTTATCATTTTTAAATCTTGTGTTTTAAATATCGGCCCCAAAAAGGCCATGCTTCGTTTTTTTCCTTTTCCAAAAGTTAATCTCTTTTCTCCTTCATTTAATGAAAGATTCGAAATACGAAATGCCAGGCACAGATATTATCTTTTCACAACATACCTGTAACCGTGACGCGCTTTTATTTTTATCGTATTGTTAATGGATCGTTATTATATATACAAATATTAATAATTTTCAAAGAACTACAGAATAAATTAAATGAATCATTGATATACACACATTCATTTACTAATTCTTATTTAATTATGATGGTAATTGTCTAGTTAATGGCAAACATGAAATCTTGTTTGCTGAAAGTAACCTGAATAAATATGAGAAATGTATCATCATTATCAATATTAATTTGTTTTATTAAAACTAATATAATTCTTAATAAACTAATTCAGAATTATATTATAAATTTATAGATAATCAAGTAAAATTCATAATGGAGTTGAATAAGGAGGAACAAAATTCACGTTATTTTGATGTCACAGTCAACATAACTTTGTGAAAATGTTTAACAGGCTGCATGCAGACTGCTGTGTGTGATTAGTGAGAAGTTGTATACAGCTTGTAAAACTCTTTGGCAATTTAATGCTGACTGCAAGTACCCACCATGTAAAAGAATAAACAAAGATCAACGTATCTCCTACGGTTCTAGGCTTATGAGACATCACGCACACGCACATGATGACACACTGTCTTGACAACTATCTTTTTCGGTAGTGTTTTTAAATAAGAAAACGTTGTTCTTGTCCCAAGGTCTTCAAGTGAATTCTATCTTGTAGTTCGCCAGTGGCTGAATTGGTAAAACCACTGAACACTGGGTAATTGATCGCGGGTTCGCACCTGACTAACGGGTTGGTCTCGTGGAGTATCATTCAGGTGTCTAAATCAGGGCCGATTTACCATAGAAAACTCTCCCGGGAAGCTTCTCCCTTGACAGATCACCCATGCCTTGTTCCGTCAATTCCAATCCCCAATATCGGGTCTCGTCCCTCACCCTCATTATTGGCCTGGCCGAACCCACGATGGTTATGCTTAATATGCCCAATTAATTCCACTTGGAGTAGACAGATGGCCGAATAAATAAAATATTTACAAAAATAAACTAAACAGAAACTTAAAGTTAATTTTTTTATAAGTTATAAAATTAATTAATTAATGAAAAAAATCTCATTCGATGGTTTATTAACTAGCGAAAATCATGGATAAATTCTTGAAA